GAGGAAATTACAGAAGCCAATAGAGGAACTTTTGAAGAGAGAAAGATGATCAATAGCATCAAGTACTGAGGACAAAGAGGAAGAAGACTGAATTGCTTTGACAACTAAGGGGTCACTGGATCTAACACTAGAGGATGAGATAAATACATTATGGTGCATGTATATGGTGGAATATTCTGCAGACATTAAAAACTAGGTTTTCTAAGAATATTTAAAGATTTGACAAAATGCTTAATATAATGTTAAGCAATAAATAAATAGTAAATAGAATAAGAGTGATAGAATACAAACTATATCTACACAACATAATCCCAGATTTATTTAATATGCTTATCTTTTTAGCATGAACACAATATTAACCTATATGGGGGTGTGTTCCTTTTTTTGGTTTGTTTGCCAGGCTGTCTTGCTCTTGCTGAGCTAAGCACGGCTATAGGCAGAGCTGAGAACTGGAAGGTGATTCAAAAGGCTGGATTGCTTGATGTTGAAAAGGGCTTGGAGCTACTTAGAAGAAGGATCAGGACAGGTCTGAAAGAGGGCAGGAAGGAGCATCACTTGGAAGGAGTCATGTCATCTATAAATATTTCAATAGGTATCTCTAAAATAAATATTCTTTAAACCTAAACACAGCACCATTATCACACTTAGAAACTACCAATAATTTCTTAGATTGCCGAATATTCAGAGTTCACAGTTTCTCCATTGTCTTATAATTTTTTTTTACAGTTTATTTAAATTGGAATCCAAAGTCCACACATTGCAATTGGTTACTTTAGCTCATGAATCTTTTTTTAAGCTATAGGTTCTCTTTCATGTCTTCTATTGTTTCTTGAATTTTTTTTCTGAATAAATTTACAGCATGAATTTTGCTGATGATATCCCCATGGTGGTGTCATTTAATATGTTCTTCTGTCTTTTGTATTTTCTTTTTCTTATATCTTTCCTCACTTTCCAAGTTTTCTACCAATCACTCCTTAGTTTTATATTCAGAATTGAAGAAGTTAAAAAATGTCCTTCAAGATGAATTTAGTAAAAAGTTTCCTTAAAAGGATAGATTTAGAAATTAGACATCAGTGAAACAATGGTGAAATTCTAAGGAAGTCAATAGTTTGCTAATAGTATTGCATCAACATTAATTTTTTGGTTTTCATAAATGTATTATGTTATATAAGATGTTAACATTTTGAGAGACTGGGCAAAGGGTGTAGGGGAATTTTCCCACAAATTTTTCAACTTTTTTATAAGTCTGAATTTATTTCAAAATAACAAATTTAAAAAGTCAAAAGAGGAATTTCAGTAGAGTGAAGTAGATTGAAGCTAGATTGTAAGGAGTTAAGAAATAAAGAGGAGAAAGGGAAGAGCTCATTGGCAACATCTGGTCATTAAAAAATGTAAAGAGGGGCTGGCTGAGTGGTGCGTTGGTTGGTAGTTGGCTTGGGATGCCGGCTCTGAGCGGCAGGGGCCCTGGTTCGGGTTCCACGTGAGGGCCAGTGACACTGTGCCCTCTGGGGCTGAGATGGTGAGTGGCGGCTCCACCTGGAGGTGGGCTGCTGAGAGTCGTCGCTGTGAGTTGCTGTGAGCCGCCGTCCAATGGCTGGTGAGCAATTGCCTCACCCGGGGAGAGCGCAATGATAATACCAACAGTGAAGCAATGTTCTCCACAACTAGACTGAAGAACAAAAAACCAGCAACTTGTCTGTTCTCCTCCTCCAATTCCCCAATAAAATCTTAATAAAAAAAAAAAAGTAGGGCCGGCCGAGTGGCGCGATGGTTAAGAACTGGCTTGGGATGCCAGAGGGCCCCGGTTCGGATCCCATATATGAGGGCTAGTGACACTGCCCTCTACAGCTAAGATGCTGAACAACAGCTCAACCTGGAGCTGGGCTGCCGTGGGTCGCCGGCGACGGCGTGGGCTGCAGCCCCTGTGGCAGTGGGTTGTCATGGTCTACCGTGTATAGCCAACAGCCAGCGTGAGCGGCCAGCAGCCGCA